GAGAGAGAGAGAGAGAGAGAGAGAGAGAGAGAGAGAGAGAGAGAGAGAGAGAGATGAGGATGATGATGTGAGGGCATGTACCTGGTCTTGGCGATTGTCTACAAGGGTCGACATCTTCATGTACTTCGGTTCGGCTGCTGACGTCAACAGTTGCATTGTCAAATCGTAGGCTGGTAGTAGCTGTGTGATCGTTGTCTGGGCGATGAGCGCCAAGTAGGAGTAAAGGCTCTGGATACATATGTTGGTGGTAGTGAGAGTATGCTCTCATTGATACTCGGATTCAGTGTTTTGGTTCTCCGTAATATTGGTGCAATTCAGTTTCCTGGACAGTGTCAGACTTCCTGGCTTTCAATGTGATTTTGCAATCTGAAATCTGTCATTTCGCTATTGCTCATTTTGCTTGCACCAGGTTCAAATGGTAACCGGATAGATCCATGCCTTGACCCAGGGTTTGATATCCCTTGAGTCTTGACGGATGGTTGACGGAGAGGCCTGTCATGCCATTTATAAGAAAATCCAAAGGCCTTCTTACCAAACTTGTCGCCAATTCATAGTGGACCCATTACCCGAACACTAATTTCAGTTTTGGCCCCATAAAACCCAGGAGCTGAAAAGTGGAGTTCGTCGTTAACCAATTCATAGAGTCTATCCCTCCTGTCCTTCTGGACATCCGTTAAAATTGGAACGATACAGAGAGAGAAGATTAGCATGGCCCCTGCGCTTTAAAGGATGGCACACATAGAACGATAAGTGGTCCAAATATTTTTTACCAAAAAGAAACAGAAAAAAAGAAGTGTATCCCTACTGCCTGGTTGTCATCTCAAAATATCCAGAGAGAAGAAGAAAGGAGAAGAGGAGGAGACAAAGAGAAGAACGGCGAAGAACGAAAAAGGAGACGGAAGAAGAAGAGAAGAAGAACAAAGAAGGTAAGAAGGAAGAAGAAAACAATAAGAGAAGAAGAACGAAGAAGAAGGTAAGAAGAAAGGAAGAGGAAAAGAAGTAGAGAAGATGAAGGACGAAGGAAAAATGGAGGAAGAAGAAAAGAATAAGAAAGAAAAGAGGAGAAGCACACAAAAGACGGAGAGGAGAAGAACACAGAAGAAGAAAAGAAAGATGATGAAAGAAAAGGAAGAAGACAAGAAGAAGAAAGAAGAAGACGAAGAAGACGAAGAAGAAGAAGAAAAAGAAGAAGAAAAAGAAGAAGAAAAAGAAGAAGAAAAAGGAGGAGGAGGAGGACGATGACGACTAGGACAAGGACGAGGACGAGGACGAGGACGAGGACGCGGAAGAGGAGGAGGAGGAGTAGGAAGAAGAAGAAGAAGAAGAAGAAGAAGAAGAAGAAGAAGAAGAGGAAGAGGAAGAGGAAGAGGAAGAGGAAGAGGAAGAAGAAGAATAGGAAGAAGAAAAAGAAGAAGAAGAAGAAGGAAGTAGAAAAAGAGAAAGATGAAGAGAAGAAAAAGGAAGGAAGGATGGAAGGAAGGAAGGAAGGAATGACGGAAGGAAGGAAGGAAGGAAGGAAGGAAGAAGGGCAGAGCAGCAACGACCACTGGCTTTTGACTAGAGGAAGATGATGAAAATGACAAAATACTTCATTGTCTTCAGGGACACATCACGCCGGCGCACAACCGAAAGCTGTGAGTTCTTCTCCCCTTCCACCCTAATAACAGGCTACTTAATAATTATGCCGCTAATATCTAGGCTGGTCCCCAGGCGACCCGGCTGGAGGAAGGTTGCCTGGGTACCCTCCCTGGCGGCAGTGGCCGGGCAGTGGCCGGGCAGTGGCCGGGCAGGGTCCCGGGCAGCCCCAGCGCATAATATTTAAAAAAATAAAAAATTCAAAAAAATCTGGAAAAAGTTCAAAAAACATATGTTGTATAAAATTGCAGTACACGCTACTTTTGGCTGACGGTCCCCTCGAAATTCTTTATTAATTTTAAGATAAAAATAAATGAGGAGAAATGAGGTAAGATTCCATAAGATATACCCTCTTAAACCCCTCTAGTCACTGTTTAGAGTAACTTTATACCTCCCAAACACCCCTGGGTGACCCAGCACCGAAATGGAAGGTAAGACCGGATTCTGACTGCTCAGGCCGAGCGCAGTCCTGGCCTGAAGTCGGTTTCTTTTTGGGGAGATCCTTCCCTCTTTTTTGACCCGCCTGGTTTTGCTGGGCGATCCGCCGATCCCCCCCGGCCCAGCTGGCCCTGGCATGCCTGGCCGGGCGACGGCCCAGCCTAGGCTAATATACATTTCTTTGCTTCCTCTCATCCATGCTTACATTTGCCCTTCTCCCGATTCCAGCCTCTTTACACTCTTTTTTCTTTTTCGCATTGTTTCCATTCGCCCTTCTCCTCCATACTTCCATTTGTGGGCAGCATATTCGCAGGTTCCCTTTACGGGAGCCCATGAACAGAGTCAGGGAATCTTGCTCAGCCACCTTGGTCACTCACCCATGTACCCTTGGAAAATTACTTTTTTTTAATCCTCCCAAATTCCCAATTCCTTTCGTTATTGTTTTCTTTGGTATCAGGGGACTATACTGGATGATGAAGCTCTGGACCAAGCTTTGCTATCGGCAGCAGCTACATTTGAGAGCATTCAGGTAAACAATCAAGACACTGAAAATGAGCTCTCTCTCTCTCTCTCTCTCTCTCTCTCTCTCTCTCTCTCTCTCTCTCTCTCTCTCTCTCTCTCTCTCTCTCTCTCTCTC